TCTCCCTGTATGGGGCTCCAGTTAGAAACCTGGCTGCCAGTCTCTGAACTAGTTGAAGCTTCTGAACTATCTTCAAAGGCAGCCCCACATAGAGAGCATGGCAGTAGTCTAGATGGGATGTGATGAAGGCATGTACTACCATGGCCAAGACTGGCGTCTCAAGGTACAGGCGCAGCTGATGCACAAGTTTTAGTTGTGCGAAGACGCTTGTGACCACCATGGACACCTGGGGTTCCAGGGTCAACGATGAATCCAGGATCACCCCCAGATTATGAATCTGTGTCTTCAGGGGGAGTGTGACCCTGTCCAACACAGGCTGTAACCCCACACCCTGATCCGCCTTTGGACTGACTGTTTTGTCTGGATTTACTTTCACCTTGTTAGCCTTCATCCAGTCCATCACAGGCACTGGTTTAGGAGCTGGACATCATCCTTGTATTTGGTGGAAAGGAGTAATAGAATTGAGTGTTATCTGCATGAATCTGATATAAAGTACATCAAGTAACACCAAAACTCCGGATGATCTCTCCCAGAAGTTTCATGTAGATGTTAAACAGCATGGGGAACAGGATTGAACCCTGAGGGACTCCAAAGGCCACCAGCCAGGGAGTTGAACAGCAGTCCCCCAGCTCCATCTTCTGGGTCCAGCCCCCCAGGAAGGACCAGAGCCACTGCAGTGCAATGCCCCCAAACTCCATCCCAGAGAGACGGCACAGAAGGATACTATGGTCGATAGTATGGAATGTCCAGGAGAACCAGCAGGGACATGCTCTCCCTGCTTAGTTCTCTTCATAGATCATCCACCAAGGTGACCAATGCCATTTCTGTCCCAAAGCCAGGCCTGAAACCAGACTGAGATGGATCCAGATGTTATGAGGTATAACAAAAGCACAACTGTTTCAATATACTTACAGTTGGTTCAAAAGTCTAGATGTTTTTGCTGGAAGTTCCTGGAAAGATACAAAAAAAGATTGTGACGACAGTATGTTGCGGAAGGAGGAACATAAAGTTACTGCAGCTTTCTACTGGTTCAAATAAACAGACCCAAGAGGGCCACTTCACCCAACCTTTAGCTCTCCAGGTGTTTTGGACTTCAACTCCCACAACTTTCACAATACCAAACCAAGCAAAATGGCTTGATAAAACTTGATTACACTCTAAATCAGTGATGGGCAACCTTTTGAGCTTGGTGTGTCAAAATTTGCCAAAAACCTGAGTATAAATTGGATAGATGACAGAAATTATTATAGAAAATAAAAACTTAATGAGGCAGATAATAATAAATAAATACAAAATTTAATGTATCAATTAGAATAAAATTATTGAAAATATATAAAAATCACATATATACAAAATTATTATAGAAAATAAAAAATAAAATAAATAAAAATAAACTATAAATATAAAAACAGGTAATAAAAACATAAAAGCAGGTAATAATAATAAATAAATACAAATACTAATAATAATAATAACAAAAATGCCAGATTGTGTGGATTTTGTACACACTATTGAGACTATATTGTGTTGCTGTTTTTTCCCTTTTATTTCTATTCTATTTTCCACTCAAATCACCTCATGAAGCCTTGAGTGCCATTTCCTGAGGTAAAAAAAGCCAAAAACTCCTCTTTGGAAATTTGGCGCCTTTTTTTTCCTTTGCTCCGCCCCCTCGCACTAACTGCGCATGCGCCCCTCCGCTGCCTCCTCCATCCGGGTCCTTTCTAATATTAGCGAATGGCGGTGTTGTGGTGTGTCGGCATGACTCATGGAATGTGGACGAGCCCTACTCCCTCCCCTCCCCAGCTCACGCATGCGCAGAAGCTCTCAATGCTTTCCAATGCTGTGCTACTGGAAGCGGACCTTCGGCAAGCCAGCTCACGCATGCGCAGAAAGCTCTCAATGCTTTCCAATGCTGTGCTACTGGAAGCGGACCTTCGGCAAGGCAGCTCACGCATGCGCAGAAAGCTCTCAATGCTTTCCAATGCTGTGCTACTGGAAGCGGACCTTCGGCAAGCCAGATCACGCATGCGCAGAAAGCTCTCAATGCTTTCCAATGCTGTGCTACGGGAAGCGGACCTTCGGCAAGCCAGCTCGCGCATGCGCAGAAAGCTCTCAATGCTTTTCAATGCTGTGCTACGGGAAGCGGAGAGGGACGAAACGATTCGCAAGAGGAGCAAACCCACGTGGAAAAGTGGTTCGACCTTCCTGGGTCTGAGAAAGAAATGGCCTCGTTGGCTTGGGAAGGGGAAAACATTATTGCATTTCTTTCTGGTTTGGGGAAAGAAGTATCATAATAATAATAATTGTGGCATAATAATATACGACAATATGATAATCTACATAATAATATAGTTGTATATTATATATTACAAGTAATATTACTAATAATATTGCAGCATAATGGTATAGTACAATATGGTAATATATAATACTAATATTGTGCTATGCTATATTGATAATATTATAATTTAATACAATATAATACCAATACAATATAATATATAATAATTGTACATTGATTATTAATGTAATATTACTAATATTTTTACAGTACAGTAATACAGCATGGTACAGTAATATATAATACTGATATTGTGCTACATACGTAAATTAATATTGATAATATAATTTAATACAATATAATTTTGTTGTTGTTCATTCGTTCAGTCGCCTCCGACTCTTCGTGACCTCATGGACCAGTCCACGCCAGAGCTCCCTGTCGGCTGTCACCACCCCCAGCTCCTTCAAGGTCAGTCCAGTCACTTCAAGGATGCCATCCATCCATCTTGCCCTTGGTCGGCCCCTCTTCCTTTTACCTTCCACTTTCCCCAGCATCATTCCCTTCTCTAGGCTTTGCTGTCTCCTCATGATGTGGCCAAAGGACTTCAACTCTGTCTCTAGTCTCCTTCCCTCCAATGAGCAGCCAGGCTTTCTTTCCTGGAGGATGGACTGGTTGGATCTTCTCGCAGTCCAAGGCACTCTCAGAACTTTCCTCCAGCACCACAGCTCAAAAGCATCGATCTTCCTTCGCTCAGCCTTCCCTAAGGTCCAGATATGCAGATGACACCACTCTGATGGCCGAAAGCGAGGAGGAGCTGAGGAGCCTTCTAATCAAGGTGAAAGAAGAAAGCGCAAAAGCCGGGTTGCAGATAAACATCAAAAAAACCAAGATTATGGCAACAAGAATGATTGACAACTGGAAAATAGAGGGAGAAAATGTGGAGGCCGTGACAGACTTTGTATTTCTAGGTGCAAAGATGACTGCAGATGCAGACTGTGGCCAGGAAATCAGAAGACGCTTACTTCTTGGGAGGAGAGCAATGTCCAGTCTCGATAAAATAGTAAAGAGTAGAGACATCAGACTGGCAACAAAGATCCACAATATAATACTAATACAATATAATATATATATACCATATATATATATATATATATATATATATATATATAAGGGCAAATATATATAATATATATATATTTGCCCTTCCAAAAGAGCTCCGTCAGGCCCCTACTCTAGCAGTTTTCAGAAGGAACCTAAAAACATGGCTGTTCCGATGTGCCTTCGCAGATTAGGAATCCCCCATCCCAAGTCCTAAAAGCACTTTAGCACAACCAATGTTGCTGCACACCGCACTTTTAATCCTACGTTCCTCCTGCCATCTCAGCACTTTTACCCTGTACCCCATTGCGCCGGCCGAACCAGTTTTAATAGTGTCTTGATGTATTGATGTATTGTCATTGTTGTTATTTTGCTTAATTGTTGATTTGCTTTGTTTATTGTTGTGTTATGTTTTCTATTGTATTGTGTTTTGAGGCTTCGGCCTGTGTAAGCCGCATCGAGTCCTTCGGGAGATGCTAGCGGGGTACAAATAAAGTTAATAATAATAATAATAATTATACGTGGCATCCCAGTACATTTTAAAGGAGCTCCACTGGCTGCCATTTATTTTCAAAGCCCAATTTAAGGTGCAGGTGCTTACCTACAAAGCCCTAAACGGTTTGGGACCACCCTACCTGCGAGACCGCATCACAGTCTACGAACCCACACGCTCACTCCGGTCATTAGGAGAGGCCCTGCTCGTGATCCCGCCCGCGTCGCAGGCGCGTTTGGTGGGGACGCGGGACAGGGCCTTCTCTGTGGTGGCTCCCCGCCTCTGGAATGCCCTCCCGAAAGATCTCAGACAGGCCCCTACTTTGGCGGTTTTCAGAAAGAACCTGAAAACCTGGCTGTTCCAACGTGCCTTCTCAGATTAGGAACCCCACTACCAAAGCCCAGAAGCACTTTAGTAGAGTCAAGATCACCCTCACCGCACACTGCACTTATATTTTAATCCCATATCCCTCCGACACTTCAGCACTTTTAACCCTGTACCCCACTCCGGCCGGCTCAGTTTTTAATAATGTCCTGTTGTATTGCTATTGCTATTGTTTTTCTGCTTTAACTGTTTTATTTGCTATGTATTGTGTTGTTGTATTGTGTTGAGGCCTTGGCCTTTGTAAGCCGCATCGAATCCTTCGGGAGATGCTAGCGGGGTACAAATAAAGTTATAATATAATAATAATAATAATAATAATAATAATAATAATAATAATAATATAATTGTACATTCTATATAACGTGTAATACTAATATTTTTGGAGTACAGTAATATAGTACAGTATACTAATATATAATACTAATATTGTGCTATACATATATATATAATATTGATAATAATATAATATACTAATACAATATAATATATAATAATTGTACATTGTATATTACATGTAATATTACTAATATTTTTACAGTACAGTAATACAGCATGGTACAGTAATATATAATACTAATATTGTGCTACATACATCCATTAATATTGATAATATAGTTTAATACAATATAATACTAATAAAATATAATATATAATAATTGTACATTGTGTATTACATGTAATATTACTAATATTTTTGGAGTACAGTAATATAGTACAGTGTTGTTGTTGTTCATTCGTTCAGTCGTCTCCGACTCTTCGTGACCTCATGGACCAGCCCATGCCAGAGCTCGCTGTTGGCCATGGCCATCCTCATCTCCTTCAAGGTCAAGCCAGTCTCTTCAAGGATTCCATCCATCTATCCATCCATCTTGCCCTTGGTCGGCCCCTCTTCCTTTTTCCTTCCATTTTCCCCAGCATAATTGTCTTCTCTAAGCTTTCCTTTCTTCTCATGATGTAGCCAAAGTACTTCATCTTTGCCTCTACTATCCTTCCCTCCAGTGAGCAGTCGGGCTTTATTTCCTGAAGGATGGACTGGTTGGATCTTCTCGCAGTCCAAGGCACTCTCAGCACTTTCCTCCAACACCACAGCTCAAAAGCATCGATCTTCCTTCGCTCAGCCTTCCCTAAGGTCCAGCTCTCACATCCGTAGGTGACTACAGGGAATACCATGGCTTTGACTAGGCGGATCTTTGTTGCCAGTCTGATGTCTCTACTCTTTACTATTTTATCGAGATTGGACATTGATCTCCTCCCAAGAAGTAAGCGTCTTCTGATTTCCTGGCCACAGTCTGCATCTGCAGTAATCTTTGCACCTAGAAATACAAAGTCTGTCACGGCCTCCACGGTTTCTCCCTCTATTTTCCAGTTGTCAATCATTCTTGTTGCCACAATCTTGGTTTTTTTGATGTTTAGCTGCAACCCGGCTTTTGCGCTTTCTTCTTTCACCTTGATTAGAAGGCTCCTCAGCTCCTCCTCGCTTTCGGCCATCAGAGTGGTGTCATCTGCATATCTGAGGTTGTTAATGTTTCTTCCAGCAATTTTCATCCCAGCCTTGCATTCATCAAGCCCCGCACATCCTCGCATGATGTGTTCTGCATACAAGTTGAAAAGGTTGGGTGAGAGGATGCAGCCTTGCCGTACGCCTTTCCCAATCTTGAACCAGTCTGTTGTTCCATGGTCAGTTCTGACTGTTGCTACTTGGTCCTTGTACAGATTCCTAAAAACTGTTGTGCTAAGTTAAATATATATATACATATAATATTGATGATATAATTTAATACAATATAATATATATTACATGTAATATTACTAATATTTTTGCAGTACAGTAATACAGTACAGTATAGTAATATATAATACTAATATTGTGCTATGTTAAATATATATATACATATAATGATAATATTATAATTTTATGCATAAAATATGATTGTACATTGTATATTACAAGTAATATTACTTATATTTTTGCAGTACAGTAATATATTACAGTATAGTAATATATAATGCTAATATTGTGCTATGCTTATATATATATATATATATATATATATATACACACACACACACATATAATATTGATATTATAATTTAATACAATATAATATATAATAATTGTGCATTGTATATTACATATAATATTGATAATATAATTTAAAACAATATAATACTAATAGAATATAATATATAATAATTGTACACTGTATATTATATGTAATATTAATATTTTTGCAGTACAGTAATAAATAATACTAATATTGTGCTAAGTTAAATATATATATACATATAATATTGATGATATAATTTCATACAATATAATATATATTACATGTAATATTACTAATATTTTTGCAGTACAGTAATACAGTACAGTATAGTAATATATAATACTAATATTGTGCTATGTTACAAAATATGTATATACATATAATATTGATATAATTTAATACAATCAAATATATACTGTACATGTATATTACGTGTAATATTACTAATATTTTTACAGTACAGTATAGTACTATATAATACTAATATTGTGCTATTCTAATATATATATACACACATATAATATTTATAATATTACAATTTATTATAATACTAATACAATATAATATATAATAATTGTACATTGCATGTAACATTACTAATATTTTGCAGTACAGCAATATAATACAGTACAGTACTATAATACTAATATTGTGCTATGCTAAATATATATATATACATATAATATTGATATTATAATTTAATACAATATAATATATAATAATTGTACATTGTATATTGCATGTAATATTACTAATATTTTTGCAGTATAGTAATATAGTACAGTATGGTACTATATAAT